AGCAAAATGTGACATCATGACGAGTCTAAGAATTCAGAGAACCGGAAAGATGGTGTGTAATTAGCATCAGAGGAGTGATGACACAGTCAACAACTCTGGAAGGCAGCACAAAGTAGTGAGAAGAACATGAGGTTTGGAATCAGACTGAAATGAATTTAAATTCTGCCTCTGTGGCTTGTTAACTCTGACCAAAGACATCAACAAGTTAGTTAACCTTGCAAAGTATGTTTTTCCTCACCTAAACAAGTAAGCAAACCTCATGCGTCTGATGCAAACATTATTTGGGGAATACTCAATAATAATAAAAGCAAACATTTACATTCCATTTGTTTGTTATATACCATGCTGTTCTAAGTATGTACTTAATATAAATTAACTCATTTAATCGTCTTAGCAACTCTAGGAAGTGTGCAATTATATTATCTCCATTTTCCAAATGAGAAATATGAGGTAAGGAAAGATGAAGTCAATCATTCCAATTCGTACAGGTAGTAAGTAGCTGAGATGAATTTTCAACCCAAGTAGTCTGGCTCCAGTCTTGCTCTAAGTCACTACATTATAGTAACATTATTAAGTTACTTCCCCTCCAATCACCTTAATTCCAATTCATTTTAGTAAAATACTGAAAATATTTACTTTAATGAAAGAGGAAATTGATCAATTACCAAGTTATAGTAACAAGAACTATATTGGCAGAAGTTATTTATTGCTATTAATATTAATTCACCAATAAATATGGTAAGTTGTTACTACACTAACTAGTTCTCCAAGATAATAAATATGTTAAACATATTCTAATCTGCTAAACAATTATATTATTAAGAGTTATTCCCAGAAAATCCCCAAGTTAGTCTTAACCCTAACCTAATTCTTCACAATTTTATGACCAATTAAAAGGCTCCTAAATACACATTCCAAATCACAGTGAAACAAAACAGTATGCACCAGTTGGCATATAAGCAAAAAATTATTACTTACAAAAAAACAGAGAGTTCCATACCAGCTAAAGATTGTGGAATCAGTGGCATCTTATAAATGATTTCATAGTATTTCAGGATCCCTGACACTAAGAAAATATTGTGTGGAATAAGCCCCAAAGGTCTTTCCCTCTATCCTCCTTACTAGCCCTCTCCCAACAAAATAATCCCATGATAACATTGCTACCATTCTGAATTAAATGGGTTACGTTTCTAGAGAAGATAAAGCAACGCTCTGACAGAGAGAGACCTTTAAAACAAAGAAAACATTAATGAATACTTTTCAGAACTATGCACTTCCTATTTTGAGAGGAAATGCACTTCGCAAGGGCAGTATAAAATTATACTTTGAGCAATACTTAGCAAATAACTGATGCTTCCTAAACCTGCAAACCTTTATATGCTATAACTCTTCAGTAAATGAATTAACCCAGAGCTCTCATTTCTATTTGTTCTCTAAACTACTGTGGGAAGTCTTTTTCCTCCCTCATCTTGTAGCTCTTAAAGCTCTACAAAAACTGAAACACCCACAACACCCTTAATAGTATTAGAACTTGTTAAAACTGCAATAGTCATAACCTCATTTATATTTAACTTATTATGACAAAGGAGACTATGCAATTTATCATTCTTCTCCCTTAACTCTCCTACTCACTTTGTCTCCCTGCCTATAACACTATGTAACACATAGGAATAAGGAGCAACATTTCAGCACAAAACATGGTACACATGCTTTAATACATGCTTCATTCAACCATTACAATTTCCAAGAAGATACTAATGTTGCCTCACAGAACATAAACACATTTCTACTATTTAATTTGAGCTAAAAATAGGCTTTGCAGATGAGGGCTAGAAAAGATTTTCTATTTTTTGGACAACTAAAATTAGATCATTTTGGTATGCAAAAGATATTACGTACCAAATAAAGCAATAAACTTAAATCTGAAGTCCTCCAGCAGGGAGGGCATTGTCTACTATGTTTCTTTGCATGGCCAGAGTTTCAAGGGCCCAGCCTCCATTATCACAGCAATTGCCAAAGCACCAAAATGTGGTGAAGAGATGGCAAGAAACAGACCATAATCAATATCTGTAATTTGTAAATGATGAGACAGAAAATAGAAACAACCAGTTTCTAAGCCAACAAAAGGGAAACAGAGAGCAAACATTTTGATATCTGAAAGCAGTTCTTTCCCGTTACTCCAGAAACATGAACCACCCTGTAGGGCACAACAGGCACTCCCAGGGAGTCCCATGGAAGAGGTGAGAACAAATGCGTGACAGAGGCGTAACAGGTGTTCTCCAACTCACTTTCTCCTTCTCTTCAGGTCCTCGTTTTTATTCCATGTCACCCTCTAAATGCAAACTTCAACCTGAAGAGCCAGTAAATGACCAAACTTTCTAGAGGAGTTGTTTATACTAAGTAGGTAGAAATGATCATTTTGGAAGGAGAAAAATTGCTACTATGATCATATTTTGTGATCTATGACTTCAAGTCTTTTTTGATGATGAAGTATAAATAACATACAAATAAGTGAATAAACCACCAATATTCTAATCACACTCCCCAAAGATGATCAATATAAACCATGGAGTTGGAACATTGCCTTCTGCCATCCAAAAGAAAGGTTCCCAGGCATCAAAATTGTTTTTAACTTGGTTGAAATGCTATTTTCCTGTGCCACCCCCCAACACCCTCCCAAAAAATAATTTTTTTATGTGATGCTTTTCTGTCCAGTAAGCTAACCAATTCTTTCATTCTCATATATGATTACACAAGAGAATTTAAACACAACTTTAAAAAAAGATAAAATCTAAGCAAGCCAAGATTAATCATAGCTCCGTGACTTGTTAAAAACAAAGCTTTTACTGAATATGACCACTAAAGCTGTCCTCAGAGCATCAATATATCAAGATTCTTAAAATACATTATTCAAAGAGAACAGCTACCTCTTAGGCACATAATCATCTGTGCCAGCATCTGGTTGGCAGGTGGCAGGCATTAAATGTTAATCTCCAGAAATTTAAACTTTACAAGATTTTGCTTTAAATCTTGAGAACAACCTATCATTACTTAGAGGAAGAAAATAATCAGACCTAGTATCTCTTTGGTAAAAAAAAAAAAAAAAAAAAAAAGTTAGTATTCATGGAAATCTAAACCGTGTTACACAATCACCTTCTAAGTTATAAACACTTCACTTACCCTAATGTCATCAGGCAGCACATTGCCTGCTGACTTCTCACTCACGACTTATTCAGCATCTCAGGGCAACTTTTGAAGGGCAACTAAACTGTGCTGGGCCAACGGTGTCCCCTGGTGGTCACCATTTCAAATTGTTTGACCCAGGGTTTCTTTCTGTGAAAATTCTGCACACTCATTTACAAGCCACAGTCCAACTACCTTTAGCACCCCAGTGTAATCATTATCTTTGAACACCTCCTATTCCCTCTAACTCAGTGATTCTAAAACTAGGGAGCATAAAGAAGAAAGATGTAAGGATCAGGAAAATGCTTAGGAACTGGTTAAGAAGCAACGTCTCAAAATATTAAACATCCCTTCACTGAGATTCTGATACATCCCTTTTAGTGTGGCATCATCACCCCACCCCTTGAAATCACAATGCATTAAGAGAAATAGATGTTACTGAAAGGAAAGTCCTTGAAAATATAAAATCAGAAAACTTTAAACTCTCAGGTAATGTCTCTTTTAATCTCACCTCTGATTTTCTCCAATCATAAGATTTACTTGGGTATTGTGACATCCCTGCAGTTGTTCTAAGATTAAGGTGATGAATCTTTGGCCTCCTTTTCACTACCCATCACCGTCCTGCATAGTGTTATAGATGTTAGACAAACCACTAACATCTATATGCCTCCCCTCACAAAAAAGGATACATTTTCTTATTATTCGATTTTGTGTTTACAAAAGTTACCTAGCATGAAAATGTAGCCAACTGGCTGCTGGATTCCCAGCTTGAAGGTAAAAGAAGTCTACCTCTAGAAGTCAGGCATGTTAAGAAAAATCTGATAGACTCTTGGGTTGGGGTGACCTGGAAATTGTTTGTAGGAGAAACTCAGATGTCTCCAGGGAAAAGTACTTCAAAGGAAAAGAAAGAACATGCAAACTAGTTTGCCCTATTCTCCATCACCTGACCCCAAAAGAGATTCTGCATTCTGTGTGGAGTCGCTCACTAAGATTTGTTATTCCCCACTAGCACCCTCCAGCACCCCATGGATTCCTATCTGGGTCATAAAGAAGAAAGGATTCTAAAAAGAACTTAAAGAGAAATTTCTCACTAGAAACATCTGTAAGACATCAGGAAAAAATATATATTTCTTTTAGAACACTTTGCATGGAATACAAGGTAGCTCTCACATACCAAGAACTTCAGGTAGCATGGTAGAACAGCTCAGTTATGGTAGCTTAAGGCTGTATGATTGGATGCAATCTACCACACTACCTTTTAGCCATATTGGAGCATCCAAAAACAGCCCCTCTGCCATAAGTCCAAATACCTTTAAGACAGACACTCCCCCAGCCCCAAGTAGGGCAAAGACACCTCAGTAGATGACCTGCTTCACTGACAAGGCCACAGAAAGGAACGCTGGATTGTAGAGTGTTAAGAGTACCTGTGGGCCACCCTTCTGCCCCAACCAGGACCTCCCAGAAATAACAGAGTATGACTGAGAGTAAAAAAAAAGATCCTACAACTTCAGCTGAGAATAAGGGCCAAAGAAATATGAATTATACAAGGCTAATACTATTCACATGTGAATATTTGAAATTGTTTCCCTGGAATTTAAGTATTTTTGTTTTGATGTTTTTCCATCTCTAAGTAAGTGGCATGCAAGCAATTTCCACTCAATTATCTTCAGGAGAGTTAACACCCATCACTTCACAAGGTCTGGGTCTCAACTTGCCATATTCTCCAAATCTCTCTTTGGTAGAACATGAAACGTTTCCACCTTGACATTCCCTCTCTTTCATTCTCTCTCAATCATATAAATATATAGTTAATATACCGAGTATATTAGCAGTACACTGAAGAATTCCTGAGACATCTTCGATTTCTTCTTTGTTGGAGTGTTCTGCATAGGAGCATCTGTTAGAGATATTGTGGAAATTCTTTTCTGCATCCCTGTAACTAAGAAGAAAACAAAATTAGCATAAGGAGAAATTTTTGAAAGCATCTGCGAATGCAACTCATATACATACGCACAGGCACACGCAGTCTATGCTTTCATCATAATCACATTTTAAAATAAGTGAAGCTTTGAGACATAATTCTGGCGTAACCCACCATTCACATCAGCATTTGCAGTGTAGACCTGGAACTGAAGGCAACTGTTAACGAGAAAGCTATGTGTGAAAAAAATTGAGGAGAACGAAAAATATATCAGCTTTGTATAGCTAATGTATCACTCTGTAAGCACGTCATCAAGGCTAGTGATCTGCTTCTATGAGGAAGCTGCCTAGAAAAGGAAAAGTTAACAATGTTAATTTGGTGTCCTGGCATTCAACAGTGTTGAAAGTCAACACACCATAACCTTTATCACAGTCAAGAAGATAGCAGTATATGCCAGGTGCGGTGGCTCATGCCTGTAAACCCAGCATTTTGGGAGGCTGAGGAGGTTTGATCACGAGGTCAGGAGATTGAGACCACAGACTATCCTGGCTAACACGTGGAAATCCTGTCTCTACTAAAAATACAAAAAATTAGCCGAGTGTGGTGGCAGGCACCTGTAGTCCCAGCTACTCAGGAGGCTGAGGCAGGAGAATGGCGTGAACCTGGGAGGTGGAGCTTACAGTGAGCCGAGATCACGCCATTGCACTCCAGCCTGGGTGACAGAGCGAGACTCTGCCTCAAAAAAAAAAAAAAAAAAAAAAGATAGCAGCATACACCTGGCAGAATTTGAGTCATGGTCTTACCATTTTCTATCTGTGAGATCTTGGGCAAGTAACCTAATCTCTGTTAGTCTAACTTTCCTCTCCCATAAAATGGAAGTACCTCCTAGAGTTCTTGTGAGGACTAAATAACACAATGTCCGTGTAACTGGATATTGACTGGGACTTTTTGAGTTGCCTCTGAATGAGAGCTAAGACAAAATAAGCTGAGGACATTAAAGGCCAAATCCTCCCACATTCTAAAGGGGTAGCCAAGAAGACCAGAGCTCTTCTTCAGGACTTCAGAGGAGACTAAATAGCCACTGCCCCTGTCACCCTACCACCAGCTTACAGAAGCAAAGGAATAGAAAGACTTCAAAATAAAATCTTCAGAAGAGTCAGGAGTTGGCCTAGGAAGAGAGTGCTATTGTGCTCCCCCCCCCTCCTAGAACAGGAGAGAAGGGGAGTGTTCCCTGCAGACATCCAGTTGGTGAGGGGGGTCCATAGCTGGTAGAGATTGGGGATCTCCCATCTCATTCCCCAGTGAACGTCTGCAGAGACAGTGGATTTCCTGATCATACTCCCATGTCTGACTGACAAAAGGAAGAAGACTCAGGAGAGAGTCATTAACAAGGAAAAGAAATCGAGAAAAATTGGGAGCAACCTAAAGGCCCACCATTTGGCAGGGCAAATATGTGAGTTTCTCATGGGTTAGGGAAGAGAGAGGCAAGCTTGAGTTGTCTGGTTGTCATGGTGCTCTTCCAATCTAGAGGCTACCAGCCAGGGACAGGGCTCCCACTAGCAAGACCAAGAGAGTGAAGTCCTCAGGTGCGGGAGCTGTGGCATCCGAAGCAGTCAGGGCAGAACTCATATATGCACCCTAGTGAGGGCATCACAGCCAAGAAAGGACTGCTACAACCCCAGCGAATTTAAAAAGGCTTCTGCCATTTTCCATTTCATTCATGCTTCAACCAATACATCAGAAGAGAAAGGGACCCAGAAAGGAATGGCCTGGAGAAGAGGAGTGAAAACCCACATCATACACTCTGTCCTGCACTGCAAGTCTCTAAGGCCAAGGCCTGACCCAGACAGGGAAAGGAACATTAGAGTCAGATTGGATATGAGAGTAAAGATTTAAATTGGCCTGGAGTGAACTTCATAATTCTTGGAAGTACTTAGAAAACAGAGCAATCTGTCTAAGCTAATATCGAAGGGGATGTATCCTAGCATGTTTGATGTGAGTGGAGGGAAAAATAAAATGGTTTCATGTCTGTATACCTCATTGAGATCAGACTCCAATGAACCAGTTAGGCAAAATGCCTACCACAGTTTCCAGAATGCAGGAGTCACTCAAGAGGTGGAACAGGGAGCACAGATGTTAAACACAGGCAACCACAGGGTTATTTTTAATTCAACCTCCACCATTTTTATCAGAATGACCTTAAAAAAGTATTTCTTTCTCTCAGCCTCAATTTCCTCAACTGTAAAATGTGCTTAATACAGTACTCTTATGCAATATGTTTAGGATTAAATAAAAGATGGAACGTGCCCAGCATATCTCCTCCAACACAGTAAGCAACCAATAGATGTTAGCTTTTGTCTAATTTGTTTATGTTCAAAAAGATACAGTTTTTCTATGTAAATATATGAAAAAGAAGCTAGATCATTTTTAGATAAAATAATTTAAGCCACAAAATCTGATCATGATAGCTTAAGTAATATCCTTGAAGTTTGTTTCCCAGAATAATCAGAATTCACCCACTCTTAATTTCACTTCTAGTGTTCTACTGAAATTATTCTGGCTTAATTTCTCCTCAATTGTCAAAAGAAAAAGAGAACAGGTTGGCTGTATAAAACAAACATAGGGCTCACATTAATAATTGGAGCAATACAATTTAATTTTAGATGACTATAAGAATTGCTATCCCAGACTAATATGAGTTTGGCAATAGTCCTACCCATGATATTAACACAACAATGCTTATTCTGGCCAAAAAAAAAAAAAAAGAATAAAATTAGTGGCATGGTTCTGAATACACATTTCTTTATTCTTTATTGTTTAAAATATATAGTGAGTGAACACTGTATCTCAGAAAGATTAGCACATCTCCCACAGCAGTTTACTGAAGAAATCTGTGCTTCATCTACACTGCCATGGCAATCAATTTTTGTGAGCCATAGACCAGTAGGAGTCATGTAGTACAAATATGAGTGACAGCAATTGAGTCAAGCCCTCTAGAGACAGAAATTTCAGTCAAAAAAAGAAAAAAAATCAACAAAAAAGTGTTCTCTTTAAGAAGAAAACTGTTGCTAGAACACAAACTGCGCATCTTCAGCTCCGGATGCTAAACAACAGATTCTAAACTTTAAAAGTCCCAACAAAGACAGGAAAAGATTGCAGCAGGAGGATAAACTGAAGATAATCAACAAAAGTTGAATTGCAAAAGAGTCATTTACTAATAGTAGTAATAATAATTCAATTCATTTATTGATTATCTTTATGTACCAGGTACTATGCTAACTACTTTATGTAATTATGTGACTTCATACATTATTATCATTAAGATTTCATTTAAACTTCACCACAACACTGTTATTATTCCCATTTTTAAAATGAGAAAACTGAGGCTCAGGGATTTTAAGTAATCTTCCCAAGATTATTCAATAGCAAAACTTGACTTTATGTCTAGTAATTCTCATATGTCTACTTACAAAACACAATCTTTCCACAACATACAAAGAGAAGAAACGGCACAAGATAATGGCAAGAATTATATAAGAAAAGAAGTACTATTATAAAGAGACATTCCTCCATCCTCAGTTTCTTTTAATTTCTAAAGTGAATCCTGCCTGTCTCCTACTGACCCCTTCTGCTTCTCACTAATCTTTCCACCCCACAACACCCAGAAAGTCCATTCTGAATCCTAGAAGTTTGAGTTAAAGAGCAACTAACGATCAGATGGCTGTAGATGTGTGGTATTATTTCTGAGGACTCTGTTCTGTTCCATTGGTCTATATCTCTGTTTTGGTACCAGTACCATGCTGTTTTGGTTACTGTAGCCTTGTAGTATAGTTTGAAGTCAGGTAGCGTGATGCCTCCAGCTTTGTTCTTTTGACTTAGGATTGTCTTGGAGATGCGGGCTCTTTTGTGGTTCCATATGAACTTTAAAGCAGTTTTTTCCAATTCTGTGAAGAAACTCATTGGTAGCTTGATGGGGATGGCATTGAATCTATAAATTACCATACTCTCCAGCCATAAAAAAGGATGAGTTTGTGTCCTTTGTAGGGACATGGATGCAGCTGGAAACCATCATTCTTAGCAAACTATCACAAGAACAGAAAACCAAACACCGCATGTTCTCACTCATAGGTGGGAACTGAACAATGAGATCACTTGGACTCAGGAAGGGGAACATCACACACTGGGGCCTATCATGGGGAGGGGGGAGGGGGGAGGGATTGCATTGGGAGTTATACCTGATGTAAATGACGAGTTGATGGGTGCAACACACCAACATGGCACAAGTATACATATGTAACAAACCTGCACGTTATGCACATGTACCCTACAACTTAAAGTATAATAATAATAAATAAATTTTAAAAAAAAATAAAAAATAAAAAAAATAAAGAGCAACTAACATAAAGATGCACACTCAATACCCCCTTACTCATTCTAGGTGAAGGAAAGACAGTGCTATGGGAGCAAGAAGCTCTCCAAGTGAGCATGAATATGTAGAGTTTATATAGCAATCAAAATTTTCCACAAAGTCAACCTGACACAACTGGAGTTTGAGGTAGGTGATGGAGAGATGCTTTAGATGGAGTGATCAGGGCAGGCTTTCCTGAAGAGAAGACATTTTAACAGAGATCTATATGTATATAAAGAATAAGTCATGCAAACATCTGGGGAAAGAGCATTACATAAAAATGAAACGATACATACAAAGGCCCTGAAGCTAAGGTTGGCAAGTTGAGAAACCAACAGAAGGTTGAAATGGAGTGAAAAAAAGGGAAGTGGAAAGGGATGAAATTAGAGAGGGAGGCAGAGGCCAGATCACAGAAAGAATTTAGACTTTATTCTACCATAATACGCCATTATATAGTTTAAAGCAGGGGGTTCAAAGTGTGATGCATGGACAAGCAGCATCAGCATTACCTGGGAACTTGTCAAAAATGCCAGTTTCTTGAGCCCCATCTGAACCTACGGAATCAGAATCTCTGGGAGCAGGGCCCAGTAATATGTGTTTTAACAAGGCTGGCAGGTGATTCTGATGCACATTAACATTTGAGAACCATTGGTTTCATGTAAGAAGGTGGCATGATCTAATTTTTTATCATTTTGCTGTGGTGAAAATACATATTGGCGGACAAAAGTAGAAACCAGAAAATCAGACCAGAATGTCTTGGTGAGAGATGATGACGATAGTGGAAATGAAGAGAAGAAGATTTATCACATTGCATGAATAAATTATTTTAGCACTCATTTCCCCAACTTGAATGATCTCTATGAATAAATAAATGAACGAGTGAATGGATAAATTAAGGAGTAGAATAATGTTTAAAGATAAAGTGGATGAGGTACAGAGAGGCTATCTTACTCCCTAACAGGAAGCCCCATCGGGTACTCCCTCCCAGTCCTTCTGTCTGTGACCCTTCGGAACAGCTGCTCCCTGCGTTCAAGTCTCAGTCTTGGCAGACAAAAAAAGCCTCAGAGAGTTTCTATGGGCAACCAGTATAAGAATCCAAGGAGCAGAACTGTACAATCCTAGAGCTCTGATAAATAAAACAGATTAAGGGCAGAGTTTTCAAGGAAAGGAAAGGAAGGTTAGTGATTGAAGGATAATTAAGAAATTAAAAAGAGAAGGGCTAGCTCATACTCTGTTACCTGTTTTGCTTCAACACCTCAACACAAAGTATTTAAATGCTGAGTTATTTCAAGACACCTTTAAGCAAGCCCCATTTCAGAGATTAGGAAAAGCATCTCCTTCCCACCTCGCCTGCTGAAAAATAACTAAAATTATGCTTGTCGGCACTTACTCTCAATTCTCAATTCAGGGATTCTGAAATCCCTTTAACTGTAAGAAACACATTCTTTTTCACAATTAGAGATAAGAAGACTTAAATTGTATTTTCTTAAGAGGAACAACACACAGTTGCAAATACTTTTTAGTTCAAGGGTGAGTGATATTAGCTGCTCTGCTTTTTTGATTATGAAAAGAGAAATAAAAAGTAGAAAGATGGAGAATAAAAGGCAAAAGAGGAAGTTGGACAGGAAAGTCATCAATGAGAAAAAAGGCAAGAAAGGGGAATACAGTCAAGAAAGGCAAACGTGGCAAAATTGCTGTCAACAGGACCCCTTTGTCTTCATCAGCGTGAATGCAAATAAAGTCAGTGAGCAAAGGTGCTTCAAGTCCGAGAAATCAGCCAAAACCCAAGCAAAAATATGCTAATAGGCCTATTTGAATCATGCCAGACATCAAAACCCCTCTTTATACTGGTGTCAAACTCTCCATTTTCTTTATACTGTGTATGCAATAAACAGAACTAGGAAAAGACCATTCATGCAATGGACAAAGAATCACCACAGGCCAATGTCTACACAGGCAGAAGGGGAGGGCTGAGGCAGCTAGCTGGATAAAAGAGAACTCCCTCCATTCTATCAAAGGTGAAAAAAAAAATTTCTGATTATAGCAACATAGTTTGGTTATCTATTTGGATCACATTATAAGAGTCCCACTCCAATTTGCCTTGAAGGCATACTTTACATACTTTAGTTCACAAATGAGAGTATTTCATCAGTTATTTTATTTCAAAAGAGAAAGAACATTCATAATCCCAGAAAATGATTAGACTTTGATGGATATTGTCATAAAAATATTAATAATAACAATAACATAAGAGCAAACAAGTATGTAGTGCTCACCACATACAAGGAACTACTTTATTAATTTAATCCAAACACCATACTTTGAAAGCAGCCAATTCAATGAGAGTGATTAAGTTTTATTCTAGGATGTGTGGAGAAAGATTAATTTGACATTCTTTATCTCCATTAGGATAAACGATTTAAAATCACTAATGGCCTCAAACTAAAAGCCATCTCATGAGTTTAAATAATATGTTTTTCCTTGAACTACACTCTTGAGGATTAGTATGACAAAGTTTCAAAGCAATTCCTTTTGAAACGACAATTAACATAATCATCAAGCACTTAAAGTATATGGCATTGTACTAGGTACCAAGATTATTTTTCCATTAAGAATTCTTCCCTTCTGTTCTGTGAAAAAAAATCACACTATACCCTAATAGCCAAAATTATGTTCTTGATCCCTATGGCAATGACTATTAGCCATAAATGTTGAATGATCCTGAGAACTGTTCAAGAAGTACCAGTTTGAATACTGACTTCTCAAAAGTTCTTAAAATCTTACAAAGATAAATCACTCTGCCATGTAAAGAATACTAACAAGGTAAATTAAAAATATACATTGTCTCTAATGTCAATAAATTGAATCTAAAAGCTAGATTGCATGAGTAAGTAAATTTAGGCTTTCATATTTGCCAATTGCTTTCTGCCATAGCCAATGAGAGGTGTATCTCGTACTCATCTGGAGCTCTCTGTTTACAAAATGGTTTCATTGAAATTACCTCATTTAATCATTACATCTAATCCTTGATTTAGTTATTATTATCATCACATTTTACAAAAGAGATAAAGTTACTTAGTAAAAGATCTATGTGCTAGTGAGGCCTTGAAGTCCTGTCTTTTGACCTCAAGTCTTCTTACTTTACACCACACCACAACCACTTCAAGAAATAGGCGATAATAAAGAAAAATACGTAGCACATGACTGTAAGTAAACTAATTCCTCTCACTGAACTGTGTTAAGGCTGTAGTGATTTTTATCAAACTCTACTTAAGGATTCTAAAATCCCATTCAAAGCATCTGGGTGGGTACCAATAAACCTTACCACATTAGTGAGGCAAAATTATACGAGTCAACATCGGAATAAGACAGTAAGAACATGAGAAGACCAAGGAAAAAAAAAAAAAAAAGCAATACCAGAAATTTCATTTAAAAGAATTAAGCAAAAATAAGCCAAAAGAAATCACTCCAAGGGACCCCCCCAATAAGCCTTCACCCCCAACACCGTGAGAACACAGCCACTGTTAAATAAGGTTGACCTGGGTAGCAGAAAATCACATACTCAACAGCTACGTTTGAGTAATCACCTTTAATTTTCCCCCAATAATAACCAAAATCAATTTTTACTTACCCAATAACTTGATGTTCATAATACTGCAGTGTCCTCTTGAGAGTTTGCTGTATCGTCTGAGGCTACAGAATAATAATAATAATAAAAACATATTATCAGCAAATCAGTACCATTCCCATTGTGAGCATCGTAGGCAGATAGGTGAAGCTTCTGATTTACCTCTTGAGAGTTTTCCTTCTACAATATTAACCCATTTTGCATTATGCCTTGTATTTTCCTCACAGAAACTAATGAGGCCCTCAGCAATTACACAGAACTTCCCAATTTCAATTATGATAGTATTTCCTAGGAATGTTTTCTTCAAATCTTTTGTGCCAGCTATTAAGTTCAATAAAATACTCATTGGCTGCCTACAATAAACCCAGGCCTTGGGGGTAGTGGGGAGGGTGCCCTGCAGAAACATGAGTCACAGTTTTTCCTTTCCAGCATATGTAATCCGCATGAGGTAATGACCAACTTAAATGAAATGGCACGTCTACACATTTTCTTCTACATTTTAACAAGGTTTTCAAAGATGGCCTAGCAAGCAGTGATAAATTGAGTTAAAATAGTCAACTTTATAATAAGGGATATTTTTAAACTTAAATGATCTTTTTTTTCCCTGTTCTTTAAGGAGACTAATAAAAAGGCAGAGTAGGATGGGAAGCCAATGATCCAGGGCCCACAGCCATGACTGTCACAGCAGTCAGCCTGACTTCCTCCATGACCCAAAAGAATTCAAGCAAAGGTTCTTTCTGGAGCATACTGGATGGGCCACAAGTGTTTCAGGCAAAAAATGGGGTCTGCAACAAATATCTAAGCAGCTCATGACCACATTTCATAATCTCTTCTCCACAATGCCTCAAGACAGAGGTTTTTAATCCCAGATCAAGAAATTAAGCAACAGAGACTGAACTTGGAGTTTCAGACTTAAGAGAGTCATGAATGGGGCACCAAGATCCTAGAACCAAGATTTTATTAGGAAGTTATGATAAGAACCAAGTTCTCAGTAGCAAGAGAGAGAATGTTTTAAACAACAAAAACCTGTAGTCAATTAAGCAGAAAGAAAGCACTCAAGGCCTCATCAAAACATTGATCAATTACAGCCAAGGATGAATTCTAGGGGAACACGAATGTAACACAAACCCTTCAAGACGCGAGGCAGCATGGTAGCTTGGGAATATCATGGGCTGCTGCTAATTAACTACACAAGCCTTCTACCTCTAAAAAGGTAATCTGCAGAAAAGGTCTAGCATAGTGCTGGTACCTAAGAAGCAGTTAATAAACATCAATTTCCAATCGCTAATCCTTCAAAGTGGCTGTCTTAAACATATATTGTCTAAAGGAGACCCCAGGAGCCGGGCACTCTGGCTCACACCTGTAATCTCAGCACTTTGGGAGGCCGAGCACATGGATCACTTGAGGTCAGGAGTTCAAGACCATCCTGGCCAAATCGGTGAAACCCTGTCTCTATTAAAAATACTAAAAGTTAGTCCAGCGTGGTGGCACGTGCCTGTAGTCCCAGCTGCCTGGGAGGCTGAGGCATGAGAATTGCTTGAACCCAGCAGACAGAGGTTGCAGGGAGCCAAGATCACCCCACTGCAGTCCGTTCTGGGTGACTGAGTGAGACTCTGCCTCAAAAGAAAAGAGACCCAGAGGTCTATGTCAAATCTCACTTGCACCCACTCCATGTCCACCTCTTTATAAAAACATCCAAGACAGATGTAACACTCTCCCTACCTAACACTCTTCGAATCTTTAACATCCTCCTTGGTAGGCAGTGGTTAAAGTTAGAGGAAAGTGAGCTTAAATTGAATCAAGGGCATCCACTGAGATCTACTCTACATTACCATGTAGGAGAACCCTTTCACCACACAAATCTGAGGCCTCAGATACCTACTGCACGTTAGCCAAGCCAATTCACAAATTAACTTCAGGAGGAATCAGCTTGCAAGCGTTCAAAGGAGAGGTACAGAGCAACTTCTTTCAGCAGCTGCTTTTCATTTACACCAGGCCTCAGACTGGCACAGATGTTTCTATTCATCCAAGCAGACTCAAAGCAGAGTAAATGATATGCACCTAGGAAAGAAAAATCATTCCTGAACCAAGAAACAGTGGAATGGTTGAGAAATCTGAGGAGAATGAATCAGACACAGGGATCCTAGCACACACAGAAAGCATGCTTTAACAACCCAATCCATGACCAATCTAAACGCAATCACTATCAGTCACTAGCTCAGTACCCCTTGGATCTGGGCCTCTGGCACTGGCTTGGCAGTTCCTAAGCTCACTTTCCCCTTGGCAACAAGTTCAAAAAGCAGTGAATATCCACAGAGGGATGATCCTTCCAATAACCTCTGGTCACAAAACATGGAACAGAAAGCAGGAACTAGAGTGCACAGGGCCACTTAAGACCAGAATGACCTCATTTGTACAAAAGGACATTTTTTTCTGTACCAGGAATTTCCCAGTCATTAAAAAGCACATATTTGTGAAAGGAGTTCAGCCTTTTAAAGAGCTAGCTTTTTTCTTGTGTGAAGCAATTACTTCCACTCCCAGCAGGAGTTAAATTTATAGTTTCCAAATACATTAAAAGGAAATGTTCTCTGAGCACATCCAACAAAGCTTCAGGTTGAGAAAGCATTTATGCACTTCCTATTTCTTGCCAAAGTGGGCAGGCACATTCTAATGCCCTAAACCACAAGCATAGAGGCTGACTGCACAGCATCTCCTAACTGTAGCAAGCCAACACTGACTTCAACACACTCCTGGCCCCTCCGAGTATCTTATCACCATGGATTCATTCCAGTTCTCAGAGTTTGTCTGATGGCCTCAACCCATGGCCTTATCAGTGAGAGACAAATTCACATAATCTCAGCCTCTCTGTTCTAAGTAAAAAGCATGAAGTGAAGACCCACAAATGGGCCAAAGCCTTCCATCAGATGACTTCTGCCTCTGGGGTGGTAGGGTCCAGCTCTCAACAAACTTATATTATGTAAGTGCCCATGTATGCCAGTGATGCAAGTCAATGTAGTTCAGTGGGAACAACAAGGGCTTTGAAGACATGCAAACCTTCTATCTTCTTCTTTAAGAATGCAGCTCCATAACTGTCTCCTACTTAAGAGAACCATCCAACAATTTACAGGCCAAGATCCCAGTCCTCTTATGTGCATCTGTCCTTTTCTGCAAGAAGGAGGTTGGAAAGGTGATTTAGCAAAGAGGCTCTAAAGTCAAACTGAATTCAAAAGCAAGTTGTGTGACTCACTAGCTAGATGACCTTGGGCAATTTACTTAAGCTCTTCTGAAATAAGATTCCTTAAGTGTACCTTTTTTTTTTTTTTAGTTTAATGACCTTTTTAAATTTTTTTTTTATTATTAGACTTTAAGTTCTGGGATACAAGTGCAGAATGTGCAGGTTTGTTATATATGTGTACCTTATTTTTGTGGGAATACACTGAAATAATAGAGCAACATCTCTGACACACAGTAGGTGTGTAATAAATGAGAGATATGGCTATGCTAAGCTGAAAAACATGGTTCCTACCCTCAAGAGTCTCATAATCTAGCGGAGGAGCACAGACTTCAATTAGAAAACTCATCCCACAGGTGTAATGTTTCAAGATCATCACCTAAAAAAAAATCAATTAAGCTACTGATACTTCTCATTATGAGAAGCTGACACCAATTCCAGTGAACAGAGGAAAATTCAGAAAAATGGCGGCCGGATTAATAAATATTTCCAATGAAACATTAAGATCAGTTGAGAGAGATAGTGATGCAAGCGGAATTCTCAAAATTAAGGCTGAGGATAGTACTAAAGCCAGGCCTGCCAGTGAGTAGGAAGGATGCCGAAACACCATAGCTAAGGTCAAGACCTCAGGCATTTACTTTACAGCTGCTAAGAAACAACCCATGAACTTTCTTCCTTGTACACAAAGAATGTGCAACAGGATTGCTGAGTGGCCTAATAATTTTATAGCCCTATGCTGGAGGATCAAAGAGACAAGGGTGGGAAAGGAGAAAATCCACTGTTCCTACTATCATAAAAAGAAACTCAAGAGGTCTAATTTTTCTCTCCTTCCCCCAAACTAAGATATAGATAGTGGCCTCCTAGTGTCCCAACTCAACACAAAGTAGCAATGGAGAGGAAGCCAGCTGGAAAGAGGAAGCAGCCATCAGTGTCCTGTACACATATTTTCTGGGGTTCAAACAGAGGGTACCAACAGAGGGTACCCAAAAGCCTCCATCATACGGCAGCAAAAAGCCATCTTCATCTCTAGTCTCATTAACAGCTTCACTATACTTGACCAACAGCGACTGACCCCCACAGACTAAATGTTATGCTCATGAAAGGTCATGAGATCCGAACAGCCAACCACGAAATAGTCCCAACAGAGCCAGAGAAATGATCCCTGAAGAGTGGGAGGAAGCAGTCCCCAGCAGCTGGCCCTGCAGGCTCAGACAGTCCCGCTGAGGCTCCCACACAGTCCCTGCTCTGGATATCCGCGCCAGATGGTGCGGGGATCAGGCAGGAGGCAGAGAGTAAAGATGTGTGTGTATGTGTGTGTGTGTGTGTGTATCGTGAAAGAATCAGGCAGGAGGCAGAGAGTAAAGATGTGTGTGTGTGTGTGTGTGTGTGTGTGTGTGTGTGTGTAGCGTGAAACACAGTTGTCATCGCAGAAAATACATGTACGTCTCAATTTTACAGAGATGAAGAAACTGCAGCTCAGGGAGGTGAAGTAAGTGTCACAAGATTACACACCCAGTAAGTAAATAAGTCACTCCAAATCAGAACTGACTTCAATGTGTGTCCTCTTGAACTAGATGCCTTTGAGGCTCCCTCTTACCTTTCACATTCTGCAAGTCTATATTCTTATTTGATACACACAGCACTTCATCATGCCAAAAAAAACCACACACATAATTTAAAAACAATCAAACTTCTCATTTCTGCTTAGTGACATACACTCACAAGATACAAACTTAATAGAAACAATAGGTCTGCCTTTAAAGAAACCTCCATAAAGAGCCATATTATTTTGTTTTATTTTTTTGAGATGGACTCTTGCTCTGTTGCCCAAGC